GACAGATTAGAAGTGCAGAAATAACTCCAGACTGAGACACCTTATCTTTGACAAAAGTGTCACACACAGTCACTGGAATAAAGATAGCCTCTTTAATAAATGATGCTGGAAAAACTGACTCTACACATGCCAAACATTAAAAATAGATTCATGTCTATCACTGTACACTAAATTAAAGGCAAAATGAGTCAAAGATTTAAAATCATAAACATTAAATAAGTTGGAAGATAGAATAGGTAAAACTCTTGAAGACATTGGTGTAGGAAAGACTTTATGAATGAAACATTGATCACACAGAAACTATGACAAAGCATCAACAACTGTGATCTCATCGTATTAAAAAATGCACAGATAGAGAAACCACCAACAGTGAAGAGACAACCCACAGTGCAGGAAAAAAGTTTTCCAACTGTTCCTCAAACAAAGGAGTATTAGAGAACTTATAAAAACTCAAAAAAAAATCAGACCTCCCAAATATAAAGACCCAATCCAAAAAAGAGCATCTGAAATGAATACACACTTTTCAGATGAAGAAGTACAAACAGCAAATAAATATATGAAAAAAATATTTATCACTGGGCATTTGAGAGATGCAAATTAAACTGGAACTTATATTACATTTCACCTGGAAAGAATGACTGTTAGCAAGAAACCAACCAATAACAAATGCTGTGAAGGCTGAGGGAGAAATGAATCTTTCCTCACTATTGGTGGGAGTGTGGACTGGTACAATTACTATGAATTGAGTCTCTTTTCTCAGTCTTCACTGGTATCTGGTTCTCTATTGAAAGAATATTTACTAATTGTCATTAAAATTTATACCAAATGAAATGCACTTTAAGAAGTATAAATCAACTATCCTTGTAGAAATCTGTCTTTATTCCTCCAAATCCAAAGCATGTTTACTGAACCTCTATTACCACCTTTACAATCACTGCTTTGTGATTGAAAATGCCTATACCTTAAATATAGAATATATATATTCAGAATATAAATTGAGTTAGACTCCAATCTGCAAGACGTGGAAGTGCATGGCTGTTTAATCTTTATATTTCCATTATTAAATTGCACACAACAGGCCATTATATCCATTAAATACAATTATTTTACCTGAAGTTCTTCATTTCACTTTATGTACTTCTGATAAATAATTTAATTAGTTTATATTTTACTTTAAAAATGCTGATGACATATTTTCCTAGGAGATTTTGGTTTTCCAAATCTAATGTTCTGTGAATAACATTCTGGATTCTTAAATTGCCTAAGCAAGGCACAACAAAACTCGCTGAGGAAGTGGAGAACCTAAAACTCATGACTGGTACATAATCCAGCACAAACAGTGAACGCTAGCTCACTAGCATTTTCTTAACTGTAGTTTCCTTATCAGTAAAATGAGAATAATTGCTACCTCTTGTAGCTATTAAGATTAAGTACTTTTGTTAATTAGTTACATTTCACATACTAAAAAATTTACTGTTCCTATAAAACATTGTCAGTTTTTACTGTTCCCTGAAACTTTGACCTTAAAAATCTAATAATTGTACTATCTCAGTCATTTCACTTTACACCATCCATGGCACAAGACTAGCCACATAGTAGGTGCTTACCAATATTTTGTAGAACAAAGAAAAGTTGAAGAAGAAACAAGGAAGTCACAAGAGGGTAAGAAATTGTAAATTGCATGATGCTTGTCTGAGATTTTTAAAAATAACTGGAACTTTTCAATCCATAGTGGTACACTTTTGATCTGAAATGTCCCACAATGGCAAATGTGTTAAGGTGCTGTCCCCAGAATATGGAGCTATTGTGGATTGATGGAGACCAAGAGAGGTGCAGCATATTTGAAGGAAGTTAGATCACTCAGGGTGCCCTCAAAGGGCAGTGTTTGTTCCCCAGTCTCTGCAGGTCTCTCTTTGCTTCCTGCCCATTACGAGTTAGTCTTCCACTGCCACCTGCCACCAAAACATGGGTCAAGCAACCACTGGACTGAAAACTCTGAACCTGTGAACCAAAAATAAGCCCTTCCTCTTTTTAAATCTTTATTTTAGGTATTTTATTACATTAATGTATTGCTGTCCAATACACTTAATAAACTGCCTGGTACCATATTTCATGAGTCATTTACTTCATGACATAGTATGAAATTCTCTGCCTGTTCTGATGCATGAGTTCACATTCATCATTTTGTAATAACAATTTTTAAAATGTGAATTAAGTAATCAAGAATTTGGATTAGGGTTACATACAGATTTAGATGTGTTCTCATCTGTAAGCTACATTCATATGGGTAGAACAACATGAGGCTGTAGCATGAGCCACGTAAAGGGTGCAGGGTCAGCTTTTTAAATTTGTATGGAATACAACTCAGTAGAAAATAATCTGCTTTAGAAATGGCCCAACTATCTGAACAAATGTTTGTGAAATGAAGAAAAATGAATTAAAAAATCAACATAATTTATCAACAGGAAAACGGAAATCAAAACCACAATAAGGTATCACAACACTTACTAGTATGGACCTTATCAAAAAAAAAAATAAATGTCGACAAGCATGTTAAGAAAAGGAAACCCTTGTATATCTGTCTTCGATAAGAAAGTAAATTGATAAACTCATGATAGAAATGAGTATGGAGTCTCTCTCAAAATGAAAAAAATAATAGAGCTACAGTAGGATTACCCATTCTCACTTTCTGTGTATATTCATATGAAATATAAAGTCAGAATTTTTAAGAGATATGTGTATACATACTCATCGAGGCGTTATTGACGATATCAAAATGTGGACGCACCCTAGTATCCATCAAAAAACGAATGGATCAAAGGGAAGGATTATATAGTTAAAGGAAGGAAAGAAATTTTGGAATTCATAACAATATAGATAAACCTAAAGAACAATATGTTAAATGAAATACGGCAGGCACAGAAAAAGAAATACTGTATAATCTCACTTATATGTGGAAGTTAAAAATTTGATGTCATTGAAGTAAAAGATAGATAGAAACCTATGCTGGAGGCATAGATGTAGAGAGTGGAGAGATTTTGAATAAAAGGTGCAAAGTTTCAAATGCATGAGCGGACATGGTGTTTAGGTCTAATTCACAGCAATAAGAGTAAATTTCACGTCTCACCATAAAAATGACAGGGTAGAGAAAAGAAAACTATGTTAACTTTGTTTAATAGTGTCATATTATACACATAGCTATCAAGTCATCACATTGAACTGCATACACTTATACAGTTATGATTGATATACCTAAATAATATTAATTTAAAAATGCAGCTGTCTTTTTCTCATTTTTCTCAATTTTCACAACAGTAATTCTGGGGAATTTAAACAAGTAGAATAACCTGTGTCTCATTGTGGTATGAATCTCTGTAATCTATTATATTTATTTTAGCTATTAATTTTGAAGCCTCACTGAGGGGCTAACAACTGGGGGAGGTGAAGGTAACACCAGTGTGGAAATGCTGCTTTGTTGGGTGAACAGCAAGCAAAGAGAAAGGCATGATTAGATAGGGAGCCCACTGATGATGATTAAGAGGCTTACAAAGACATGGAACTAATAGGTAGAGAAGAAACCCTGCTGTCCTTTTTTATGGCAGAGGAGTATTCCAATACAAATTAAATACCACATTTTTTTATTCATTCGATGGAATGAATGATGGGCATATGTGCCATTTCCAAGAGTTAGCTATTACAAATTCTGCTGCAATAAACACAGATTTGCATATATTGCGGTGGTGTGATGCTTTTAACTCCTTTAGGAAGCCACGTAAAATGGAAATAGCTGAGTTGAATGTAACCTCTAAGTTTAATATTTTTGAGGAATCTCCACACTGCTTTCTGCCTTTGTACTGATTTACACTCTCAGCAACAGTAAGCAAGGTCCTTTTTCCCAACACCCTTGCCAGCATTTGTTATTGGCTGATGTCCTGATGATAGCAACTCTTTCTGGAGTAAGATAGAATCTCAGTTTTTGATTTCTCATTTTTAGGTAAATGAATGCACCTTGAGAATGTAAGAGACATAAATAGAACACACGTGTTTAGATATCACATTGTTTCTCTGGTATGAGAAACTCAATGTATAAGTAAAGACCCAAATGGAGAAAACATATTGGGATGTAGGAAAAAAAGGTTCAAATGGTAAGGAGAACAAAGGAAGGCCAAGCAGCAGGGGATAGGCAAAAATATATAAAAAAGAATAGGCGGAAAACAATAGAAACAAAATTTTGTCAATGAGCAAGGAAAGACTCATTGAAAGGAAGGGAAGGGAATGGGAAAAATAACAAAGATATGTAGGGAGCCGCACGACAGCCCCATTGCTGCTTCCCTGCCTCTCTCTCTCCTATGGGCACTGCGTCTGCCTACATTAACCATAATCCTCTCCTGCTTACGTCACATACCCAGTCTTGAGGATGATCCTGTTGCCTCTTCCTGTCCCAATAGCCCGCCCTTTCTCTATAAAAGATGTAATCACTTCCGGAATAAAATGGGGATTGATCGGATTCTCTCTCGACTTGCTTCAGTCTCTCTTTGTCTCCCCTATGTCTTTATTTAATCCCTGTTCCTCCTCCAGGTACACCCCACGGAATGATCCGCAGGCCGGATCAAAGATATACCATGTCTAGATACAAATTCCCTATGATAAACTTTACTATTACGGGTGTCAAACATGTTTTAAAATCTACTATTAGGAAACGACAGGAATATTGGAATTGCCCATTAAAAATTCAGAAGGCGGAGGAGGAGGAAGAGAAGGGGAGGTGAAGAAAGCACAAGGCAGAGGAACAAGAAGAGAAGGAGAAATGGCAGACAGGTTCTGATCTGTAGCCCCCGAGCGCCTTCAGGGAGATTCCTTCAATGCCCCGGCATCTGTTTCCTTCTGGGATAAAAGTGCCAAACAATCTTTACTTTCCAGAGAAATCGAAAAGTTGAAATAGCACGGGGAACTACTTCGTGCACACTTAATGCCTTTTTTTTGGTCCCTTCCCTCTGCAGTGGAGAGACTTCCGGGAAGGACAAGCTGGAGGCTCCGTAAACGCATCCATGGCCGTGGCACATGTACCGCTTTAGCAGCAGAGCAGTTGGAGAATTTTGCACTGTGCAACAACAGAAACTGAGGATTGGATTATCCTTCTGGAAGTTCCTAGGAATGTAGGAAGACCTGAAAGGTGTTAGAAATAAGCCTCCCACTTAAGTCTTGATAAAAACTAGTTTAAAAGTGAAACATAATCAGCTCAGTCATTCAGCAACCCTTGGGGAAGTGGAGCTGAATCTTAACTTGCAGGTTTGGAACAGTGTTCTGTGTGCAAACCCAAATGCTAAATTTTGATCCATTATCAAGGAGCCAGAAAAAAATTGCAGTATGTGCCATAATAAATTCATCCCTTTATGATATTCTTCAATGAGTATTGCCCTTTGTAGTGCCCTGCTTTATAACACATTATGTATAACTTTTAAAAAGCGAAAATTATCTATCTAAATAACAAAGTGCATTTACTGAAATACCATGTACTGAACCCAATCTGTGGATGAGTTTTGGCCATTTGGGCCTCAGGATTCTGGGCTGATTTCATGGAGACACAGTGAAAATGTGAGCAAATCAATTTGGTAAAACAAAGCAAAACAAAACACCTGATATGTCTAAGTCTAAAATTATTTATATCATTTCATTAAATAATTTGATGTCTAGAAAATTTCCTAAAGAAATAATCAGAACCAAAATCAAATTACCCATATACCTACTGCAGCGCTGTTTACAGTGGTAAATTTGGATGTAACCAATACTCAAGAGAAGAATGGTTAGAGAGCCTGTGAAAGCCATGTCATCTTGTACATAAACATCAAAATTTTCCATAGATAGCACAATATCGTTTAGTAACACTTCTTGGTGGCATGGAAAATAATAACAATGTTATGTTAACTGCAAAATGACAATTTATAAAGTTTTGGCGAAATGCAAATTATGTGTGTTCAGCATGCATGTAGATATGTGCATGCTTGTATGAATACATTATAAAACAACCAGAAGTATAGGCTCCAAAGTATTGTGGGTCTAACAGATATAACTTATTGATTATTGTATATATATATATATATATATATATATATATGTTTTGGGAATTTAAAGTTAATGTCTACTATTGCTGCAGTCTGAAAATGCAATTGCTCATAACGACACTTGCATGGTGATCTATAACATTAGCAGTTTGTATGAGATGAGAATAAAATAGGTTTTAATGACTAATTTTTAAATAGGTTTAATTGAAAATGAAACATTCTTTGTTATCCCACATCCACACTGAAGTGTAGTACATTTTAGTTATATACTTTAATTAGGTAAAGAGTCAAAGTACTTGAAAAGTTCCTCATAAATAACAATTGTCCTTTTGATTAATATCCCCTGGTCTGGTGGAGCTGAGTAATTCTTATTACCTGTCCTTTTTGCCAGCTGCTTCTCTCCCTCATGCTGGTTAGATCAGTGACATTCATGCTTATAGTGATGTACCAAAAACAGTAAAGCATGCTACAGGTTCCAGAACATTCTTTGCCAAAACATTAAAAACAGTTTGTCAAAGCAAATGTGTGTCATTTTATCATTTGGACATGTGACATGCTAAACTGCTGTGATTTTGACTGAGATCATTCATTGTTCTAATCCCAGCACTTGACAGAATGAAACAGATAAGGTAACAAGTTTAAGGCCAGCCAGGACTACGTTTTGAGACCTTATCTAAAATTTAAAAATGGAGAAAAAACAAATAAACAAAAAATTCAACAAAAGTTTTAAGCTTGTTGCATTTTCGGCAGACATAAATCCATGAAGAATTAAGAAATACATCCTTTTCTGTCTACACACTGTATATTTTACTAAATTCAATTATTATTTGTGTGTGTATCTACTTTTCAATTTAAATTTCTTTTAAAATGATTTACAAAATATCAAAATTATGCATATTTATAGGGTACCAAATGATGTTTCAGTATGTGTGTATATTGGTATAATGTTTATACCAGGGTAAATTCTAAATAGAGCAAAATGTATCTCTTCAAACACTGATCATGAATTTATGGTAAAATCATTCAAAATCCTTTCTTCTACTTTCTTGACTGCTCTGTATAGTTGTTCTACTGTGTCCTGACACAACAGAACTGTTCTTTTTGAGCCGGTTTCCGTATTTAGAAAGTAAGGATTGTGCACCCCAGATGCTAACCTACCTCTTCCTCCTTGTCTCCTACCCAGATATGGATTCCATGCTCAGAAATCTGACCCTGGAATATATTCAGTGTCAAAAAGGTTTTAAAAATGTAAATTTTTCATTTGTATTAAAAACAAGCTGATTTCTTTAATGTGCATTGGACATGAAAATAAATAGTGAATAACGAGTGTCTCGGGAACACTTCTAAATGAATTATAAACCACAAAGCACCTAAATGCAGGGAAACAAGAAGCATACTCACTTCCTGTCCACACTGTTTTGAAACGGAGTTCCCCCCGTGTACTTGAAGGACATGATAATTGCTCACTTGTGAAACAGATATGTTTTTCTTGAGTATAAAAATATGAATTTTGGATGCAGGCCAAGTTTAATTATTCCTCATAGAAAATGCCTTTCACCACAAATGACAAATTCTCCCCTAAGACAAATGGCCATATTCACATACCTGCTTATTGAAAATTGTTTCAGTATTGTGCCTCCAACCCATCATTTACTTTTCATGTAAAAATTGATTCTTTTTAGTCAAAGAAAAATATTTAAAAGTTAAGGCAGGATATATATTTTTCTTCTCACTCTGAATTAAGCTGAGTTATCTTCAAGGTATTTCATATGTAGTGTAGGAGATGACTAAAATCTAAACAAGGACAAATATTATGCACTGTGAAGCATAGTACACTGCATGAGTATGAAGGGAAAATTCGATTGTGACAATTTCAGGAACATGCAAAAGGCTTCACAGCGAACATGGACACTTCAGGTGGCATAGCAATTGACACAGGGACATAGAAAGATATTCATCAAAATTTTTTAGTGCAAATATACCCATGCCTAGATACAATTCTTAGACTATTTGCGTACAGAATATTAAATCATTTCTGCTCTCTAGAATTACAGTGATTTTTAAAATTTATTGTGACATGATAGTATCAATCAAGACTAGCCAAACTAATTTTGATAATGCAACCAAAACTAGTTATAATTAAATACAGTGATCAGAATACAGTATTTAAGATCAAATTTCGTATGGAAAATGAAAATGAGGTACTAAGTAAAAACTAAGTTTAGTGTGCGATCTTTCACTTGTCTAGTCACACTGCAAATATATATTACCTGCTACGCTAATTCTTGAGAGAATACAGTGATGAACAAAATAATGAACAATATTCTGTACTGCCCTTGTGGATGTTACAAATGTGTCTGTGTTCATCACTGTTTTTACTTATTTTTAGGGCTGTGGGCGCACACTTATTTGCACATATACAAAACAAAAGAATAGCAAAAGTGCAAAAATTAAGAGTCATGAGACTCTAGTTTCAGTTTTGGCACTTATGACACAGTGCTTTTCCAAAAGAAGCCCCCCAAAATATCTCTTGAATTCTGACTTTGATACACTCCAACCAAGAGATGAAGTGTAATTTAATACTGTGCAGACAATAACCTTTGTTTGTAGCTGCTAGCATGTTTCAGATTGGATGCTATATGACATCTAAAGGCAGGTCAGAAAAGGTCACACACTTTTTGTCTGTTTCTCTTATGACAGTTTCTATTGGAGAAGCCAGGCATCATATGAAAATCTAATTTTCCTGAGGCTACCGTGTTGGAGAGGCTACATAGACACTTTGGAAAAAAGTTCAAGCTGATACCAGATGTCTTCATTATTTTCTCTGAGGTGTAGATATGTGGGTAGAACAATCTTAACCTTCTGAAATATTCTATCTACCATGTCACTCAATGACCTTGGTTAGTGTCAGGGAGAGTAGAAGAATTATCTCACTACAGAATTTGCAATATGCAATAAAATACTTTTGAAGTAAAACTAATTTTAAAGTCTAATTAGCTGCAATACTAATTGTGACAGATAAGTAATTTAATTGCTGTGTGAACATAGCAAATTTGGAAAATGGAAATAACAACAATTGGTACTTCCTATCCAACACAGAAGAGCAGGAGATTATGAAAGACAAAAAGCTGTGGAAGTCATGGACTATAGGATGGTACTGTTGGAGAGCGCTAAAGCTGAATACATGTGCAGGGCTGTGGTGTGGCCCTGGCATGATTGAATTGAGAATGAGGAGACACCTCAGGGGGCATGATAGAACACCTGGGGACTTTCTGGGGATGGTTTTCCTTGATTAGCATCGTCTAAGCTCTGAGGGGGCCATTGAACTCCTCCCAAGATCCTGTTCAAGTTTCCTCCATTGTCCACTCAACTCCTTGCTATTTCTGATTAAATACAGGCTGCCTAGTGTCAGTCAGCCAGCTGCTAGTAGAGTTACAAGCTCTGCTGAGGATTTCACTCCTCCTGCAGCCCTAAAGACCATGCTGCGTGTTCCTCTGAGCCTTCGCCTTGCACCCCTTTGGAGGGTTGGGGGTCTAGGTACAGAACCCAACTTGATATGACATACAGGTAAGCAGAAATCATTTTCTGCATTTATGTATATTGATTGCTATGCTCTGAAAAGTCTGTGTTCCCTTAAAATGTATATATTAAAGTTTAGTTGTCAGGTAAAGCCATTTGGAGTTAAGGGGGTGGGGTAATCACATCATCAAAGTAAATGACATGAGGTTATGAATGCGCTTAGTGTGTTTATAAAAATAGATCGCAGGGAACTCCTTTACTCTTTAACTATATGAGGACATAGTAAGACAGTCTAACCTATGAGCCACAAAAATGTGTCTACATCACATGTTGAATTTACCAGCACCTTGCTTAGGGTCCGTTAGCCTTCAGAACTGTAAGAAATTAACTTCTTGTTCATAAACTACCCAGTTCTCATATTCTTTATAGCAGACTGAAAGGGCTAATGTATACACAGAGATGCTCCTTGATTTATTGTGTTGTTGTGTCCTGATAAACCCACCGTTAGGTTGAAAATAACACACACCAAAATGAATCTATTCAATCTTTTGATCACATTTGCTAAGCAACACAGCACACTGCTTTCACAGTCCTCTCCCCACCCCCTGATCACATGACTGACCAGAAACTGCACATTACTGCTCCTACCCAGCATCCTCAGCAAAATTAGTATTATATATCACCAGCCTGGGAAAAGCTCAAAATTCCAAATTTAAAGCAGTTTCTGCTGAATGCAGTTCATTTTCTGAATTCATAACAACAACTATCTATACGTATTTGTCCCTGTTAGTTTATTTATGTCTTAATCAGATGAGATATACTGGGATATTAATTCATAATAATAATTTAACCTTTAGTTGTGCAGAGGTACCTATAAAATCCATATTAGGTCATAATTGATACTTACAAATTATGATCAAGTGAAGACTGGCCACCAGTTTCTTAGCATCTGTAATTCTAGTTGGCTTCATTAATCTCTGGTTCTTTTCTTGACACCTAAAGTATAATTTTCATTAACTGATAAACTGTTATTTCTTGGTAAGAAATGTAGTCCTAGAAGAAAGTCAACTGCTTACTAATAAAAAAGAACACATAAAACAGACCATAAAAATGACATTTAGAAAGAGAAAAGAGTAATAAAATTAAGTCTAAATTAAAGAGAGGTAGAATCAACTTCAGAGTAGTTTACACCTTTGGTATCAACAAGTCAATAGAGATATTACTTTCTCAATAGAAATAAGACAAATGTCATTTCTGCTTAATTTAATGAAAAATCTGCTCTTAAAATTCTATATAAAACATTTCAATTCTGAAAGATTTATTTACTCAGTAAAGATATATCGCAATGCATTTGAAAACTGAAAGCATATATCATAGTGATATATTTCAATTAAGAGTTTTATGGAGATCTTAGGATTTGACTTTTTTAAACTGGCA